CCCCAAAACCCCAAAACCCCAAAACCCCAAAACCCCAATGAGATTGATTGATCAATCTATGATAAATACATAAATGAGTAGTATAATAATTGCAGTCAATAATTTGATAAATTTCAATATGTCAAAAACGCGAGATAACAAAAAAAAGAATGATGACTTCGAAATAGAAGAAACCACTACTAAATAAGAGGTTTCCAATACTGCTCCTTAACAATAATAAGTTGCTGATATAGAAGATACTCATTATGATATTGAGTAAGATTATTTTAATGAAGATTTCCTTTCCTAACTGATTATGATAGTCCAATGAGGAAAAAATGTACATACTGCAATGTCGAGGTAGTTACTTATGTGGAGCATGAAGGTCACCCACTATTTATGCTTTTTGCGATGATTACTATCTTTATTTTTGGCTTCTTATGTCTTATCATCCTGCCAATAGCCTATATGGTCACTAAAAATGCAGTTCACAGATGCAGCAGATGCCTTTAGAAACTTGGAGAGAAAAAGATGTTTGGACTGCCATCAAATTTCACTGATGAGGTATAAATATCATTGTTATTAGTCAATCAGTTTGCTTATTAATTCCTTATATAGATTTGGTAATTCAGGCTAGGCAAATGCCATGTGGTTATTTCAAGAGGCTATGCAGTTGGCGTACTTGTGATATTTACAATTCTCTCTATGTATTATGTGTACATGAGACCCTCTTACTCGACACACTTGTCCCCTTATGAAGTCCCCAAGGAAAGCAGACCTATTTCTTACTCTTGGGAAGAGTTTTTGAACGACTGTGGTGGTGCAGTGATAGTTGAAAACAACGTGCATGCTAGAAACATCTTCAATCAGAAGTACGAGTCAAACATCGTTACCTGGTAAGGCTTTTTCGCTGAGAGTAAAGTCGCTTAGGGTATTGTGCCTTTTATCGGATCAAGCCATCATATGAACTTTTTGATCAAAATGTCGCCTTCTGAATCTCCCTTGTACCCAGATCTAGTCCTCTCCATTTCAAGCAAGCAATGGAACGAGAAGAAATAAATAATTAACAACCTTAAGAAAGGTGATGAGCTGAAATTCAAGGCATAGATTGTGACTCTTGGTAACGAATTTAAACTGCATCATTTGCACTGTGAAGAGTTTGAACTCACTGGTGGTTTCAAGGAAATTAACGATATCATAATCAGAGAAAGCACTCTTCCTTGAACGACAATGCATCTATCAATTAATCTAATTTCATGGACAGTCTAGATGAATGTGTGATGTATTTCATTACAAGCATCTAGGTCTTTCTATGGGTGAAGATAGCGAATATACTAGTATATTCGATAATTATTAAGTTGTTGATATGTTTGTTTTAAAAGCATTCACTAACAATTATAGTTTCAATTTCTAATTAATCTACACATAATATTATTTTCATTAAAATATAAGGCCAAATTTAAAACTATGGAAGATGATGACAATGTAATGAGGAGTCTAGACATGAGTGATACCTAGAGTTTCGCTGTCCTTAGAGAAAGCATCAAGGAGCTAGAGGAAAAGGTAACTAAAACTCTATCGATTAACTGATGTGTTAGGTGCTGAATCAGTCTCGGGAAGCAATGCAAAAATTACAATCGTATGAAATGAAAATATAATCTTATTAAAGGAAAATAGCACCACTCGATGAGCTGGCCAGCTTAACCACGGGCAGCAACTCCTCAATTGTGGACAGTCTTTCAAACAAGATTGGAAATTTACTGGAAAACAGGTTTAATCAGATTTTTAGGGCGATGTACTTGGACAAGCTGACATTTGAGAAGTATTAAACGGACACTGAAGAAAAAATTCAACTAATGAAGGAAGACCATCAAGATCTAAAGAGTAATGTCTTAGACTTCAGAGGGGACACAGTGAGCATTATTGGCACTCTACAGAGTGAGACATAGAAGATATACGATTTAATAAGGCAAACGAATGATGATCTAGAGCTCAAAGCTGGAACTGCGTATGTGAAGAGTCTATGTGCAACTAAGGATGAAGTTACGGAAGTCTAAAAGTAGTTTAACAATTATACTCCGTTAAAAAGATTTCAAAATTACATAGTGACTATGAATGAGGAACTAGGCAAAAGAGATATTGTACTTGAGGATATGCTAGATAAGTAGAATTTAGTTCTGAGATTGATTGAGTCTACTAAAGTTGAAATTAACACCAATTACTTGCCTCTTGAGAGGTTCAATGAATTTTATCAGAGATATCAAAATACTAGCCAGAAATATCAACTGGACATAACTAATCTTGACAACCTGGCTATGAAAGCTGCTGAGGATATTATGGAGTTAGAGAAGATAATAACTACTAGAGCACACTAAAGTGAGATCTAGAAGCTTTGGGAGAACTTTCCTAACTATTGCAGCTATTAGGATCTCAAAGACTTATACTCTAAGGTCCTACCCCCATTGGCTCACTTTGAGGAAAAAATGGATAGAATGAATTAAGGATATGAGCAGAGTAAAGAAATGATCAGAAGATATGATGAAATCATTTCTGATAAGGCAAATAAAGTGGCCATTAATGAAATATATCAATATGTGAACGAAACTTTTGTTAAGTAAAATCCATACAATACGCAGCATGAAGAAAGCTCGAAGAAAATTGATCAGTTGTTTATTAATCTATCCGATTTAAAAGATACTCTATAAGTCATCACTGAAGGAATAACAAGAGACATACATTAAGCTGTAAAGAAAGCAACCAATTAGGTAAGAACATAGATGCATAATAGCTATGGATCAAATTCCAATGCTTCTATTGCTAATTTGAGTAACATAGGCTCTGGGGTAGGTTTAGACGCTATGGAATTGAAAAAATTGCTGATTCAAAAAGTAGATTAAAACGAACTTGATAAGGTAATGCTGATGAAGAGTAACAAGGCAGATATGGAGTAGGCATTCAAATCAATAGACATTATTCATAAGCAAGTTTGCCACTAGATAGTATTATTCATTGAACTAGTCAAAACATGTATTGAATAGCATGGACATTAAGAAAACAAGAAGACTAAGGAATAGAGAAAGATCTTCATACTCCAGTAAGCTATCAGTGTGTGCCGATGGATCAACACATTCAATCCTGAAAATATAAATAACGAGGATTTAATTCTGCCTCTAGAGCTTAGATCTCTATAAGATCATTCAAAGAATTTAGTCTCTGACTTCCCTCGGCTAGATTAAGTTGCAGAAATTGGGTTGAAAAAGTTTAAAGTAAGAGAACTGAGTTCATTGAAAAACGAAGCTTCCTCAGTAATAGTCAGCCCTACGCATCTAAGTCCTAAAAATGAAAAAGAACTGGTGTCTTAATAGCTAGATAAATATATCACAATGAGCTTAAGTACATCACGAGATATGAAGAAAGGTGGGGAAAAGGGCTAAAGATAAACAATCACTAATAGCAGATAAAATATAACTAAGTCTTTGTAAGTTGATTTATTTAGTATAACTGTCATTATAGAATCAGAAACGGAAATCGATATCAATTACTTGGACTAAACAATCCACGAATCTAGTTAAATGATCAAAGCCCACTAAGTGGTACTTAATCTTACATAAATCACTAAGAGAGCAATCTCAGCCACAATAATACAATTGAAAAGATACATCACTCTTTAGTAAGCAGCTAGGATTCTAGTTTTGGAATGAGCAAAAATAGTACTATTTCAGGTATAAATAGAAATATATCCCCTTTGAATTTACCCTCGCTAAGGTGAATCTATCTTTAAGTAAAACTGTTATTATATCAGATGATTATATAAACTCAATTTTTTAATTAATTCATAAATTTTATAGATAAAATTATCAGCAAGGTAAGCGGGGTTTTGGGGTTTTGGGG